TCAGACTTTTTTGTAAAATAGTTTCCTCAAACAGGTCCCTGGGTGATATGTTCTCTGATCTTTGTATATCGTCTCTGGAAAGAAGCAATATGGTAGGGAATGGGACTCTTGGGTCTCAGACTGGCTGTCTTTTTTGCCTATACTCTAGATATTCTGTAGATGTTATTCCATAAGCTTTTCCTTTCCATATAAGAAGTCCAATATGTTTTCCTTTGAAAATACCTTGTACTTTCTGTCTGGAAAATTCTAAAATTATTCTTTTACTCTTGGAGTTCAGGATTGATATCACAATTACCTAATATAATGAGCCCTTCAATCTGCAAAATACTTTACTCATTTAGCTCAAGAGAATTTGTGTTTTCTTTTTATTTATTATGGCTCCTCTTCTTCTTTCAAGAATGCCTACTATTTAGATCTCTTGGATGAGTCCTTCAAAGCCATTATGTTTTCTTCATACTTTCCAAATCTCTATAATATTGTTCTTTTTTTGAGATATTTCTTTCAAACCGTCTTCTAAGACATTAATGCCCCCTCACCAGGGACCATCTTCTCAATTTATCTCAAACAGCTTTTATTAAAATCTATGGGTTTTATTTATTTATTTGACAGAGAGAGAGCGAGAGCAGGAACACAAGCAGGGGGAGTGCGAGAAGGAGAAGCAGGCCTCCTGCAGAGCAGGGAGACCAATGCGGGGCTTGATCCCAGGACCCCGGGATCATGACCTGAGCCAAAGGCAGATGCTTAATGACTGAGCCACTCAGGTGCCCCAAAATCTATGGGTTTTAGTACAAGGAAAGTTTTTGTGCTCTAATCAAATATACTTAAGTGTTTATATATGTGTGTGTGTGTGTGTGTATTTCTTAAGTGTTCCTATATTTTTAGCGAGGGTGGGAAATGAAGAGTACAAACTATTGTCCGCTTCCTCCACCAGTTCTTTTCACTAGGGGCCACCTACTTTGGCTGTTCTGCTTATTTTTCTTCTCTAGGACTATCAGATTCTGTTACAAGCATTGTTGTTTTTTTCTACATACACCTTGGGATTTGGGCCCTGCTGCCAGAGAACCATAAATAGAAACACTTTTCTAGGGGAAAAGTATGGTGAGCTCCTGTTAAGTTGTCATTCTTCTGCTGATACACCAGGAGGTAGTCTCTTTCTCTAAGACAGCCTACCTTTTTAACTGTCCCACCTCTCCTTAAAGGACTGAAAAAAACAATTCCTCCAAATAGTCACACAGGTGTTAGTACCCTTTATTTAATAAACCCAAAGAGCACTTGTACCCAGCTTTCTTCCTTAATCTCATCATTCCAATCACCATTCAAGAACTCCATGCCACTAGTTCCCAGGTTCTCTCTAGTTCTGGGGCGGGGTGCAGAAACCCCAGGACATCATTGTTCCCTAGATCCAGACAGAGCTGAGACCTCACATTCCCCAGATCCTACTTCATGTGGGATTTTGAACTGGAAGTGGAACGGAGACCACCAGGGTTGAATTTAAGCTGTTCTGTTGCCACTAGCCATTTTCCCACAAAGAGGAGGTTCTCATTCTAAAACCTGTAAATGGGATCCAGGGGGATCCATGATCCTCTGAAATTACCATCAAATTATGTTTATTTATGTATTTATCTATCTACACATATATATGTATATGTTTCTGTGGAGTTTTTTAGAAAGTTTTTTTTTAAAGAATTTACTTTGTTTAGAGCAGTTTTAGTTTCACAGCAAAATTAAGAGGAAGATACAGAGACTTCCCATATGGCCCTGCCACTACACATGCACAGCCTCCATTATCAACAGCCCCCACCTGACTGGTACACTTGTTACACCTGATGAACCGACATGGACACATCATAATCACCCCAAGTCTAGAGTTTACCTTAGGATTCACTCTTGGTGTTGTGCATTCTGTGGATGTGGACAAATGTATAATGACATGTATCCACCATTATAGTATCATACACAGTATTTTCACTGCCCTAAAGGTCCTCTGTGCTCTGCCTATTCATCCCTCCCCACCCCCAACCCCTGGCAATCACTGATCTTTTCATTGTCTCCATAGTTTTGCCTTTTCTAAAATGTCACATAGTTGCAATCATACAGGATGTGGCCTTTTCAGACTGGCTTCTTTAACTTAATAATATGCATATAAGTTTCCTCCATGTCTTTTCCTGGCCTGACAGCCCATTTCCTTTTGGTGCTGAGTAATATTCAATTGTCTAAAGGTACCACAGTTTATTTATCCATTCACCTACCAAAGGACAGACGCTTTGGTTGCTTCCAAGTTCAGGCAATTATGACTATATCTTCTCTAAACATCTGTATGCAGGTTTTTGTATGATTAAAAATTTTCAACTATCTGTATGCAGGTTTTTGTATGATTAAAAATTTTCAACTCCTTTGGGTAAATACGGTGGAGCACAATTGATTACTTGATCGCATGGTAAGAGTATGTTTAGTTTTTTAAGAAACCACAAAACTGTCTTCCTTAGTGGCTGTACCATTTTAATTCCCACTAGCAATGAATGAGAGTACCTGTTGCTTCACATCCTCACCAGCATTTGGTGGTGTTAGTATTCCAGACTTTTACCATTCCTACAGACGTGTAGTAGTATCTTACTATTGTTTTGACTTGCATGTCCCTGAAAATATATAATATTGAGCATCTTTTCATATGCTTATTTTCCATTTGTATATGTTCTTTGGTGAGGTGTCTTTGGCCCATTTTTTAATCAAGTTGTTTGTTTTCTTATTGCTGAGTTTTAAGTGCTCTTTGTATATTTTGGATAACAGTCCTTTATCAAATATGTTTTTTACAAATATTTTTCACCTAGTCTGTGGCTTGTCTTCTCAGTCTCTTGAGTTCAGAAGTTTTTATCAGATTCTCAAAATGATGTTAAGAATCACAATTTTCTAGACCCATACCTGAATTTGGTACAAATCCCCAATAAGTCAATATGTCAATAAGATGTAGATCACTCTAACTCCAGTAAGTAAAGAGGGTCTTACAGCCCCTCTGACACCAGAATTATTGTTAAAAGTAAATACTGTCTATTTCTATGTCTGCACTTGGAAGATTACCCTTTGAAGAAAAGGCAAGTTCTTGGACCTAGAAGGAAATGGTTTAAAGAGAAATAAAACAAGATATATTGAAATGTACTACAGTAAATAATAACCTCCATAGGGTGGCAAAAGTAACAAATGTAAAAGAGTTGTGGGTTCAGTGAGTTCAGGAATAAGAATTCAAAAAAGCGCTTTTTGAAGAGAAGTTAGAGAATTTTAAAGTAATAAAGTTAAGACAGGTTTATTTTCCCCTCAAAAAAAAACAAAAACAAAAGCCTAAAATTTCTTGCATTCCTGCAGTGATATGTTAATGGTGATCCTTTGGCCCTTGGCTCTCCACTTCTAAATTTTAAATACATTGGTTTTTTTAAATCTCTTTAAAAATATACTACTGACTTTAATCAAAAGTAGGTCAGCATAATGTTTACTACATTATGTTTGAAACACAAGCCCTAGTAATTCTAATGGAAAAAAAAAGATTTGATGCTTTTTTTATTTGAGGTGAATATAAATAGAAAATGAACTTAAAAATATCTTCTTTGTCTCTACCAGGTAGGAAGAGAAAAATATACCCTTCCATACGCCTTAAATGGCTTTTAGTTTTTAAAATATATCCATACATTGTTTTATACAAGTTATACAAGTTTTATACAAGACTTATACAAGTCTTTTATATGACCATAACCCAGCTAAACCACTGGCAAGTGGGAGCAGAAGTGAAAGGTTAGACCTTTCTAATGCAATCTACAATTCTCTACACATTCCTCTTAAATTAACAAAAGCTCACCCTCATAAATATTAAGCTATAAAAGTATTATCAAGAATTCATATAGTTCTTTTTTTTATATTTTATTTATTTATTCATGAGAGACAGAGGGGGAGAGAGAGAGAGAGAGAGAGAGAGAGAGAGAGAAGCAGAGGGAGAAGCAGGCTCCCAAGGAGCAGGGAGCCCGATGTGGGACTCGATCCCAGGACCCTGGGATCATGACCTGAGCCGAAGGCAGACGCTTAACCATCTGAGCCACCCAGGCGCCCAAGAATTCATATAGTTCTTTTACCCTTATTGCAGTGAGCAAGCATAATGTATAGAATTATTGGTCACTTAAAACTAATGTAATATTGTATATGAACTATACTTCGACTTAAAAATTTAATTAAAAAATTCATATAGTTCTTAATTTTTCGCCTATATATTAGAGATGGTAAAAATACATGAATGGAAGCTTGCCTAATTTTCTAAAAAAAATGTGTATTTTTTTTTAAATGTCTTGAAATGGGTATGTACAAATTTGGTCTTTCATTATACTCCATCCTTTTACCGTTCCTGTTTCCCTTTTAATAAATATGTGCTCAGTGATTATTACTTATCGTTGTTAAATGATGCATAATTAAAATCTATGCTCAGGTACTAAAATCCAACTATCCTATTATCTTTTTTTTTTTTTAATTTACTTTAGAGAGAGAAAATGCGTGCAAGCAGGGGGAGGGGCAGAGGGAAAGAATCCCAAGCAGACACCCCACTCAGTGCGGGGCCAAATGTGGCATTCTATCCCAACACTGAGATCATGACCTAAGTCAAAATCAAGAGTCATCTGCTTAACCAACTGAGCCACTCCAGGCACCTCTAGCTATCCAGTTATCTATACAAAGAGTTCCTATTAGTAGATGCAAAGAAAATAAATATAGAGCAGTGATAACAGATATCACTGAATGATCACAGAGTTTATGTCCGCAAAGCCAGATGCATCCATCTTATCACTGCAGCCACAATCAACCCATCAGGAACAGTGCTCATCGTGAGACCCATATGCCATCCTGATTTAAAGCATTGCTGTCTTACCACCACTTGCTGGGAATTTCCTCTCTAGCTCCCAGGCTGTCTTCAAAATGAATTTCTATACCAAAGAAACTCTGTTTAACTATGCTATATTTCTTGGTTTCAGATGGCTATACCACTGATGACATTGAGTTTTACTGGAACGGAGGAGAGGGAGCTGTAACTGGAGTTAATAAAATTGAACTTCCTCAGTTTTCAATTGTCGACTACAAGATGGTGTCCAAGAAAGTGGAGTTCACAACTGGTGAGGACATTTCCTCCAAAATGAACTAGGGGCACTGTGAAAGAAAGAAGATGATTCCTACCAAATGGAGATCTGATTTTTTTTTCTTTTCCTTTTTTCTCTTTTTTTAACTCAGGGGCTTATCCACGACTGTCACTAAGTTTTCGTCTAAAGAGAAACATTGGTTACTTCATTTTGCAAACCTACATGCCTTCCACACTGATTACAATTCTGTCCTGGGTGTCTTTTTGGATCAACTATGATGCATCTGCAGCCAGAGTTGCACTAGGTAATGCATTCCCAGCACTGCAGAGAGCTGGTAGGACTTCACTTCGACCAACCAACCAATGTTAGAAATTATAGGCACGGACTTCTCTCAAAGCAAGTTAAAGAATGAGATTACCATAGCAGTCCTTGATACTAAAGCATCTAAGTGTAAGCATTTTCTTGACTGTTTCACAAGGCAATATCTTTTTAGCATTTTACAAAAACAAAAACATGGACTATATTCAATACTAACTATATAAGTGCTTCTTAGAGTCTACTTTTAAATTCTCATTACACTAATTTTTACTAACTTTGTGATGATTTCCTCTCTGGTCCCTGCTTTTTACAGTGAAGAACATTTACAATTCATTATTCTCAAAAGGATTTGGAAAAGTTAAATCTGTGACTATTAACAAGTTATGTCAATGGTTGGGCAATACTATCTTTCTTCTTTTTTTTAATTATGTTATGTTAGTCACCATACATTACATCATTAGTTTTTGATGTAGTGTTCCATGATTCATTGTTTGCATATAACACCCAGTGCTCCACGCAGAATGTGCCCTCTTTAATACCCATCACCAGGCTAACCCATCCCCCCACCCCCTCCCCTCTAGAACCCTTAGTTTGTTTCTCAGAGTCCACAGTCTCTCATGGTTCGTCTCCCCCTCCAATATCCCCCTCTTCATTTTTCCCTTCCTGCTATCTTCTTCTTTTTTTTTTTTTTTAAACATATAATGTATTATTTGTTGTAGAGGTACAGGTCTGTGATTCAACAGTCTTGCACAATTCACAGCGCTCACCGTAGCACATACCCTCCCCAATGTCTATCACCCAGCCACCCCATCCCTCCCACCTCCCACCACTCCAGCAACTCTCAGTTTGTTTCCTGAGATTAAGAATTCCTAATATCAGTGAGGTCATATGATACATGTCTTTCTCTGATTGACTTGTTTCGCTCAGCATAACACCCTCCAGTTCCATCCACGTCATTGCAAATGGCAAGATTTCATTCCTTTTGATGGCTGCCTAATATTCCATTAAAGTTAAATCATACGGAACTGAGTTTCTCTTAAATGTAGCTCATCACACCTGAATAAGGCACAGACATTCATCAGCTATATTAATGATCTGTGATCAGGATGGAATAAAAAATGGTTTCCTTCTTTAGGGAACAAAATTCAAGATTAATCTTGCCATGGTTGAGTAATTGCTGCAAGCTGAAAGGCTATATTTGAGACTTTATTTATTTTTTTTAAAGATTTTATTTATTTATTTGAGAGAGAGAGAATGAGAGATAAAGAGCACAAGAGGGAAGAGGGTCAGAGGGAGAAGCAGACTCCCTGCCGAGCAGGGAGCCCGATGTGGGACTCGATCCCGGGACTCCAGGATCATGACCTGAGCCGAAGGCAGTCGCTTAACCAACCGAGCCACCCAGGCGCCCTATATTTGAGACTTTAAAGGGTTCCTTGGAAAGTCAGAATACGAAAGGTCTGTTTGATGAATCTGAGCATGTGTGGGTCTGCCTCATTATTTGATCCTAGAGCCCTTTCAGTTATCACTTTTGGGGGCTTTTTCTCATACATGGGTGCTCATGAGCGCAAGTGTGCACACACACATTCCAAATATGTAACAGCATCATTTCCAGCTAAGCTGACATATACATCACTTCTTTTTTTTTTAAAGATTTTTTATTTATTTATTCATGAGAGACAGAGAGAGAGAGAGAGAGAGGCAGAGGGAGAAGCAGGCTCCCAAGGAGCAAGGAGCCCGATGCGGAACTCGATCCCAGGACTCAGGGATCATGACCGAGCCGAAGGCAGACGCCTAACCATCTGAGCCACCCAGGCGCCCTACATCACTTCTTTTGAGATTGTTGAACTGGGTCAGATGCTCAGCATACCCTTTCATACCTAGACTAATTGTCATCCCTATAGCTTATTTCTAATGGCTGAGTAATTTCTAATGGCTCACAAAGTCAGCCCTTCTTAACCTTTGAACGTTCCAAAACTAAGGAAAGCCAACAAATAGTTTATCACATCCTAGGTATGATTCTGCATGTATTATTTAACTGCGAACATGAGTACAGGTATACTAGGGTTAAGGAAAAAACAGTGGATGATGTCATCAGCAGGGAATAATAACTATCAAGGTCTTGAATTGTGGTTCTCTTTACACATCTATCCTCAAAGCTAATGATATTTTGATCAGAGATGTCAGCACATAAAAATGCTGATTTAATCTTTTCTTTGAAATGTAAAATCGGGGCTATTTTAAAACTTAAGTAAGTAAAAAAGGCATTTATTTACTAACCCTTCTTGCCTAAAAATGTAAACCAAGGAGTAGAAACAGAAGTGCGACTAGTAGATTTGTAAATGAACTGTCTATTTCTACTAAGAACATTAGCTAGAATTATATTAGGTAAAATTTTAAATTTTACTGAAAGAAATAAGTAAGACCATTCATGATGGCATTTCATAAGAGTGCAGCACGTTTGAATTCATCACTGATCTGAACCATTTTAACTTTCTGTATGGTAATCCTGACTTCCTATTTTATCTGTTCTCCTAAAAGTTAAATAGTCAAGTCAGGGATTTTATCTAGAATAATCCGATGGACAAATGAGTGCTAAACTCTTTTTTTCCCCTTTTCATTTTCTACTTCCCATTCTCTTTGCCAGCTCTCCTTTGTCTTTAACATTCATTTTAACATTTCCTGTCTTTATTTTTAAGGACTCTCATCAAATTTCAGGTTTTATCTTCTCCTCTCTTTGCTTTTATTTTAAATGCCTTTGTTTAACACCTCCTTGCTTTTTTGCCCCTAGCTAGGTGATCTACAGCAAAATAGCTAATCTCAGAGTTTCTGTTTATTCAGCTATACCTACCCTATCATACTCAGCAAGCTGTTATGACAGCCATATAAGATAATGCATAACGGTGTTTAAAACTGTAATATGCTATAAAAATGTGTAATATTAGTATTGCAGCATGAATTATCTACATTAGGTAACAACTTCCTTTTCACTTCTTGTTATTCTCAATTACATTTCATCATCACCATCAACACCAAATATTTATTAGGCAGCCATGCAAACATTATATGATTAAGAAAGCTGTTTTTAACAAAGTAGACAAAACAGAATTTTCCTTTTGAAAGTTTACAGTCTTAACCTTCTTCACAAATCCAAGCTGAATTTTTCTGGAAGTCTTTTCTTGATTCCAGGGAACTAATTCATTCTTGACTCTCGAATCAAGAAGTAGAGGTAATATTTGAAAAACCAAAGCAACAAGATTATATCTAAAAATGACATAAATCAAGTACTTGATGCAAATCATGAACTTTCTTACATATTTCTTCTTTTAGGATTGTCTCACTATGAATGATATATTATCAGTGTAATAATGTGTAATACTGACCTTGTGGCCTGGGTGTGTTCTAGATATACGGAATGAAGTAGCTCTCCTCAAACTGGTCACCAACTTTCAGTTTGGTAGTGGCTGTTGTGGGCATTAATATCACAAGAACAGATTTAGTAGGAAAATGAGGGAGATGCTGAGAGAAGGAAGATGTGGTATCTAACAGAACAAGGGACATTTTGACAATAGACAGTAAGCATATCAATAGGATTTTGATCTGCCTTTCCATTTACTTTTCTTTTTCATATGTGCATTATTTTTTTTTAAATGTTTTCCAGTCCTCCATTAATGGTACACCCTGTTTTATGATTTGTTCATGGACTGTATGGGGAGCCTGAAACTTTGTCTTTCAAAATGTCTACTCTTTCGCCCAGTGGTTTATGGCATTACTGACATCATTCTGGGGCACCTATAAGGGAACTGCATCTGTCTTCTCAGTCTTTAAAGGGCAGCTTAATAAGTGCATTCAGCTAAGCTGTGTCTTTCTGTTTAATAGGAATCACCACCGTGCTGACAATGACAACCATCAGCACTCACCTCAGGGAGACCTTGCCAAAGATCCCTTATGTCAAAGCGATTGATATTTACCTGATGGGTTGCTTTGTGTTTGTGTTCCTGGCTCTGCTGGAATATGCCTTTGTAAATTACATCTTCTTTGGAAAAGGCCCTCAGAAAAAGGGAGCTAGCAAACAAGACCAGAGCGCCAATGAGAAGAACAAACTGGAGATGAATAAAGTTCAGGTAATGTATCAAATATTCCCAACAATATTCTTCCAAAATTCATCAGCAGCATGGTGCTCAAGACTCCCATAACAGGAAAAAAAAAGTAATTAATCTTCAATATGGCTCAAACACCACTCACTTTTACATATTTGAGAACTGAGGATTGAAGAAGTTAGGTTGAAGTTAACATAGATTAATAACATACCTGGGCCTGAAACAACCCAAGTCCATTATCCTGGGTGGAATAAATTAAAATTAATGCCTTTTTTATTCTTTGAGAACATCTCTTTATCCTCTACTTTTATGCTACGTTTCACTGAAATCAAATTAAAATTATGTACATTGAAATACTGTATCTACTATAAATTGTTTTCAAGATGGCATAAAGGATAACTATAACTATATAGTTACAAAATTCTATGCGGAAGTTTAATGCCAGATATGCTTGATAAATAAATGAGAGAACTAAAGTGAATCAATTCTGTACTAAGTGGAAATAAAGAAATATGGCCCAGTGGTTACAACCACAGACTGGAATGAAACTGCTTGAGTTTGATTCCCAGCTCTGCTTCTTACTGACTTTATAACGTCAGGCAAATCAACCTATGTGACTCCTCATGTTACCTCTGTTCTCAGGTCATCATCCATAAAACAGAGATTATTATAGTATACCTACCTCACAGAGTTGTTATAAGGACTAGATGAGTTTTTTAAAGCCTAATATTTATAACAATACCTGGAACATAGTGAGTGCTCATTATCACTATAGCTAGCCAGCTCTTATCATTATATATAAGACAGTGTCACTATTTTTCTTTTGCTTTTCATTGGTAGATCTTATGACCTGTGCTTTTGCTGGGTGGAATTAATTAATATTAATGCCTTTTTTATTCTTTGAGAACATCCCTTTAGCCTCTACTTTTATGCTATGTTTCACTGAAATCAAATTAAAATTATGTACATTGAAATACTATATCTACTATAAATTCTTTTCAAGATGGCACACAGGATGACAACTCAAATATTCACTCGTTTGGCCACTGTTCTGAGCATTGGGAATACTTCTCTGAAGGAGACAAATTTCCTGGCTCTCACAGAGTTTAGATTCTACTGTGGGAAGACAGGCAATAAACATATGTGTTTACACACATATTAAGAGGATAATTTCAAGTTGTAGTAAGTGCTATGAAGAAAGTAAAACAGAGTGATGGGTAAGTGAATCATTTGGATTAGATTCAAGGGAACAAGGAACAAAGAGCAGGTGATCAGGAAGACCTCTCTGAGACGTTACCACTCGGTCTGAGACCTAAGTGATGAGCAGCAGTAACCATGCCATGACCATTTCAGGCAGAGGAAATGACAAGTGACAGAGACTCTGAGGAAGGAATTTCTTGATGTGGGAAAGTACCAAGAGAAGACTAGTGTAGCAAGGGCATAGCAAGTGAGGGAGGAAATGTAGTATGAGAGGTGGTTGGAGAATTAGGCAGAAGCCAAACTATAAATCTTCGAGATGTATCTTCATGCTTTTTAGTGGGATCCCAAAACTGGACAAACACTGTCAGGTAACTAGAAAATTATAGGCAAAATACCAAACAGATTCGGCCAAATGGTCAAAATCTGAAGTGACTCTTTCAAATAAATTTTTACTCTTATGTGAAATATTATGCTGGATTCTGTGGGAGAAGGAGGAAGCGTGATACTTGCCCTCAAGAATCTCCTGATCTTTCTGGGAAAGAAAATTATACTTATAGGAGGCAATTAGATCATAAAATGAAACAGGACAGCACCTACCTTGAGGAGCATATCTGAAAGGAAAAGGCTTCCCATTGTCTGATTGTAACCATACCAGCCTTAAAAGTATGTTTAGCAGAAGTTTTTAAGACTCCTCATTTCTGTTCCCATTCCTAGCTCAGTTGCCTTCTAAACCAAAGCTGGTCCTCTGCATGGCTTGGAATGTGTGTTAATTGATATATCATGGAGGAAAGGCCTACATCAATAAAATAGCATAGGTTCACTGGTAGGAAAATCCAAAGATATGAACTGGATGGGCACTCAAAGCAAGTAGAATTTGGAAAGGTAACAAGGAGAAAAGAGGGTCTTTCAATCAGCTAGGAAAGCAATGTTCTCGAGAAAGGTGATTAAATGGAAAGCTCAAGCAAACTGAAATCAATTCATTCAGATCATTTAAAAAGAGCATAAAACAAACTTTAACCAAACTCTTTGGCTATTGCCTTGATTCTACCCCAGGATATCAAAGAACTTTTCTAAGGTGCTATGGGACAAATAAAGGCAAAAGGAAAGCCTTGTATGTCATATCATACCTAGATGTATAATATATATTGCTCTGGAATATAAATGAGTAAAATGTGTCCGTCTAACTGATCTTTATTTCATAAGCAGGCTGTTTGAGTAACATTGGGCTCAAACATAGTAAGATTTCACTGGATCTCAAATCAGGAAACTTTTAGTCCAAAAGAACTGGTATTTTAAATTTTAATCCCAGTAGAAAGCATAGAAAAATCCAACAATTGTCAGGAGATGAAACACTTAAAGAAGATAACTAGACTAAAAACTCCACAACTGCTTTTCACAGAAACACAAATAGACAAAATTATGCCAAAGTTAATAAACAAATCATGTTAAGATATGAAAAAGCAGTATATATTGGTCTAACCCTCCTGTGGATTAAAAATTATAAACCTTGAGCAAAAATTTATTAAAATCCGCTCGAAGAGATAAGAGAGTAACTGAAAACAAGCAAAAACCAAAAGAGAATCAACCCTCAAAGGAAGGGAATGACACTGTGTGAAATCTCTATACATCTTTGCCCTGAGGCCTCTCCCCAGTCTGGGGGATGTGGGACAGCAGCACTTCAGAAAAAAACAAAACAAAAATACAAAAAACTACAGTTGTATTGGTCTGTTGAGTCAGAACATGGAGTTTGATACTTCCAGAGTTCCTAAAAATCTTGGAAAGAATTGAGCCACAAGAGAAATTCAGAATGAATATAAACTTCCCACAAATCCGTGGTTGATCCCTGAACTACAAATGTACAAAATGCTAAGAAGTCTGGAAAGGAAAAATAGTTGAAAGGCTGAAAAAGAACAAAAATAAGGGATTCTCTTTGAGTTAAGGAAAAACTAAAATAGACTCACCCTAACTACACATAAAACCAAGTCACTACACATTCCAGGTGACCTATTAGTAATTTAACTGCCCATTAAAACAAAACCCAACATTTGTCAGGGAAAATAACAGAATCTAGAATCTCTATTGTGCATCTTCAACATAGTTAATATGTAATAAAAAATTACTAGGCATGAGAAAAAAACAGGAAAACATTCTCAAGAGAAAAAAATTAGTCATTACAAACAGAATTTCAAAGTCTCAATGTTGGCTTAAAAGATAAGGACCACAATTAATAATAATAACTATAATTAATATATTTAGAAATTCATTGGAAATAGCCAAAAACTGGAAATAACTGAAATATTCTATGATAGGCAAATGGTTAAATAAACTGTAGTATATTCATAATATGGAAGACTAGCCCAGTAAATAGTAATGTACTATTGATACATACAACAACTTGAATGGATCTCAAGGCCATTATGCTGAGTGGGAAAAAAAAGCCCATCATAAAATATTACACGCTGTATGATTCCACTTATATAATATGCCTGAAATAACAAAATTACAGAGACTGAAGAACAGGTTAGTGGTTGCCAGGAGTTAGTGATGGAGAGGAGGATTGAGTGTGATTGATTATAGCACACAGCAGATCTTTGCAGTGATGGAATAGTTCTGTATCTTGCAGTGGTGGTTATGTGAATCTTCACATGTAATAGAATTACATAGAACTAGACACACAAACACCAATATCCGTTTCCTGGGTAATATTGTACAATAGTTAAATAAGATACAGTCAATGAGAGAAACTGGGTGAAGGGTATATGGGACATCTTTGTGCTATCTTTGTAACTTTCTAGGAATCTACAATAATTTTTTTTAAGATTTTATTTATTTATTTGACAGAGAGAGACACAGCGAGAGAGGGAACACAAGCAGGGGGAGTGCGAGACGAAGAAGCAGGCTTCCCGCGGAGCAGGGACCCCGATGTGGGGCTGGATCGCAGGGCCCTGGGACCATAACCCAAGCCGAAGGCAGATGGTTAATGACTGAGCCACTCAGGCACCCCAAAAACTACAATAATTTCAAAATAAAAAGTTTAAAATAAAGTCCATAGGAAGAGATTAATATAATATATGAAGAGATGCAGAGTTTCAGAAAAAGATTTGAAACTATGGAAAAGAACCAATGGAAATCATAGAATTGAAAAATGCATTAGATGGATTAGCATCAGATTTTATATAACAGAAGAAAGGATTAAAAAACAAGAAGAATAGGGCGCCTGGGTAGCTCAGTGTGTTAAGCATCTGACTCTTGATTTTGGCTCAGGTCATGATCTCAGGGTCATGAGAACAAGTCCCATTCTGGGCTCTGCGCTGAGCATGGAACCTTCTTAAGATTTTCTCTCTCTCCCTCTGTCCCTACACCCACCACGTGTGCATACTCTTTCTCCCTCTCTAAAAAAAAAAAAAAAAAAGAAGAAGAAGAAGAAGAAGAAGAAATGATTAGTGGAATTAAAGGTAATATTGACCATCTCTCAAGTTTTTCATTGCACTAGTTCTTGTCATAAATGTTACTACCTCAAGGATGCCTTAACTGACCACCCCCCCCAACTGTTAGTTTATATTTTGTACCATTGTTCTTTGTCCTCACCACATCCTGTGCTTTTCCACCATAGGATTTACCACAATAGTGAATACATGTTTACTTAATTATTTTTTAATGTCTATCTCTCTATTAAACTGCAAGTTTCCCAAGGATTAGCATCGAGGTCCTTGTCTATTATGTTTATTGCTCTTTACTCAGTGGCTAGAACAGAGAAAAAAACAAATATTTGTTGAATGAATAAGTTCTAGAGAACCCTTCTCCATTCAGGATGAGTTCTTAGA